GCCAGGCTCTGCCGGGGGAGGGACTGGAAGAACGACCCCTCCTCGGTTTACGGCTGGGCCGGGAAGGGGGAGAAGGAGAGGAAAAAAAAGAAATAATCAACGAGTTTCGGGGCTTCAGGCTGGAGCTCGCGGAGCAGAACTCGGGACGCGCATGCGCCTCGCTCGATCTGCGGCAAGAGACGCCGGAGCGGTCGGCTGGAGCGCGAGGGAGACTGCGCCTGCGCAGAAGGCCGCCCCGTCGCCAGCCTGCCCTCACCTTACGTGCCTTCGTCTTTTTGAACGTGCGCCCTCGTACGTAAAGTCGATTTGGGCAAAGGGCGGTGGAGAAGGTGGCCGGCGAGGTCCAAAATGCCCCTGGAGTCGGTCGGACGCTTGTTTTTCGCGTGGACGGCCGATTCTTTTTAGAAGTGGTCGGAAAAGCATCTTACGTTATCTCCTCAAAGAATGAGGGGGAGAACTGTGAGGGGAAAAGCAGCGAGGTTGCTTTTTCTTGCTTTTTAACAGTTGGCGAGTCATTCGCCTGAAGTTCATCCGCCAAATAATATCGAAATAGGTTGCTGTGTTTTTGCAAGTTCTTTCAAACTTCTTTGGGGTCTCTGCACAGGCGCTGCTCCCACGATGACACGCGGTCATAAAAAGATCGTTCCGTTTCGTGGCTCAGCGCGTGAACCCGATCAAAGGCTTTTCTGTGTAGTGAGTGCGTGGTGTGGTGCGAGCCCGGGCAGGCGATTTCAGTCGGTCCGACGTGGTTGGATAAGCCATGGATTGGAGCAGCGTTTCTCGACCTTGGCAACTTCCAGAGGGGCGGACTTCAACTCCCAGAATGCTGGCTGGGGATTCTGGGAGTTGAAGTCCACCCCTCTGAAAGTTGCCCAGGTTGAAAAACGCTGAATTCGTGCATTATGCAAACAGAGCTGCTGCCGGTGAATATGTGTCAAAATTTGCACCTAGGCTACTAACTGGTTTTCTCTCTCTAGGAATCGAGCGATTGAGTAATAAATACCTCCTGTAGTGAGAATGTGCTATTCCATACTAGACTTCTCCTACAACGTTAGCAACCGATCTGTGGTCGGCCGCATTGGAGGGTTGTGGTATTTCAGAAAACAGCAGAGTTCAGCTTAATTTAATTTAAATGTGAGGGTCAGTTTGCATTTCCCGCTGGGGAACGTATGAAATAGACCCTGTGTATTGTTGACTGGACGGATGTATCTTTAGGGTTCGTTCACAGTCTGAAATGAGAATTGTAGTGGATTGATCAGCACAGTG